CCCACAGACCCAGTAAATGAAGAAAGAAATAAACGACAAACCTCAAACCAAATACCAGCAAAGAAATCCTGGAGAAAAGATCTGTCATACACAATGAGCTTTTCTTGTTCAAAAATCAATAATTAATCGGTGCTAAAATCTATGGATTTAAATCTAGAAAAATATACAATAATGTTCCATGCCAAACAATGTGCAAGAGAAATAATAAATCAGCAGGTATTACCCAAATTAAGTCACGACTAGTAAAAGACTACAGAGAAGATCTAACAGAACTAAGTAATTAAAACAAAATGACCTTAGCCTGAATACCAGGATATGAACGACATTAGGGCAACGAAAAGGCTGCAAAACTAGCCCTGGAAGGCTCATATGAGGCAAAGATAAGTCCCTTTGAAGTTATTAGGGTAGTATGTAAGGCATCCATCAAATAATGGATACAAAAAGAGTTTTGGGAATGTTGAAACAACTATCCAAGATTGAGATTAAGGAACTACTGATTTACTGAATCAAAACAAAAAATAATTTGGTCTTCTTACCGGATAATGTCACCAAAGAAGGGACATGATTGTCATTAATCCAAAAAAGAAGCTACAGTACGCAACTTCTGTGACAAAGAAGAGGAAACATCAATAAAGATTTGTACCGGTATGAATGCCTAGTTATATTAAGGTTTTTAACACTAGGCGAATAGAAATTATATACTAACACTAGGCGAGGAAAAGCCATATACAGATAATTACATGCGTAAGCTACTGTTAAAGCTACTATATTTAATAAAAAAAAAACAGGCTAGACGACATACTCTAACAGAGTTGCGCAATATATCTGAAAACTAACTATACATTTTTTCTTAGATTTTACATAACAGTAATTCCACTTTTAGTCACATACTTAGGATATGACATAATTCCTCATTATATTTAATATTTAACCTGTATTTCCAATGTTTAAGCTTTTGTAATCTCCTTTTAGTACCCCGAGATTAACGACACGATTCATTAACCGCTAACCTAAAACATTGTTAGTCGCTACCATCGGTATAAAGTACTGCTATATACACATATCGTATAATATTGTTCTTTTAAAAATCTTTAAAATATTTAATTTTATTTGTTTTACATTTTTTAATTTCCTATCTGTATACAGATATAAGGAAAATATAGGATTCATGATTTTTTTCGACCTCGAGTTTTCGACGGATTTTTACGTTTTGAGATCCCCTGAATCCATTTTGACTATTTTCGTGATGATGTCTGTGCTGTGTGTCTGTGTGTGTCTGTGTGTATCTGTGTGTATCTGTGTGTGTCTGTGTGTGCCTGTGTGTGCCTGTGTGTGTGTGCGTGCGTGCGTGCGTGTGTGCGTGCGTGCGTGCGTGCAGGCGTGCGTGCGTGCGTGCAGGCGTGCGTGCGGGCGGGCGTGCGTGCGTGCGTGCGTGCGTGCGTGCATGCGTGCGTGCGTGCGTGCGTGCGTGCGTGCGTGCGTGCGTGCGTGCGTGCGTGCGTGCGTGCGTGCGTGCGTGTGTGCGTGCGTGCGTACGTGCGTGCGTGCGTGCGTGCGTGCGTGCATGCGTGCGTGCGTGCGTGCGTGCGTGCGTGCGTGCGTGCGTGCGTGCGTGCGTGCGTGCGTGCGTGCGTGCGTGCGTGCGTGCGTGCGTGCGTGCGTGCGTGCGTGCGTGCGTGCGTGCGTGCGTGCGTGCGTGCGTGCGTGCGTGCGTGCGTGCGTGCGTGCGTGCGTGCGTGCGTGCGTGCGTGCGTGCGTGCGTGCGTGCGTGCGTGCGTGCGTGCGTGCGTGCGTGCGTGCGTGCGTGCGTGCGTGCGTGCGTGCGTGCGTGCGTGCGTGCGTGCGTGCGTGCGTGCGTGCGTGCGTGCGTGCGTGCGTGCGTGTGTGTGTGTGTGTGTGTGTGTGTGTGTGTGTGTATCCACCATAACTCTTGAACCGATACACAGAAACACCACAAATTTTAAACTTAAGCTTTTTTCCAGCGTGCAATAAACTGATTAGATTTTGGGCGGAGTCAAAACATCTGGGGGAGTACTTTATAGGTGGTCATTTTTATATTTTGTGAAATATATCTGTTATTTACGTTTAAGAAAGAAAATTCTTTAATTAAAAGTTTCTTCCTATATTATTATCTATAATTTTTGTTCTATACAAAATTTTCCTAAAATGGTCCGTATTTGAGAAATTTGACAAAATGTACAAAAATATTTTTTTATAAAAATTGTTCAAATAAAAGTTGTTTGTAATATAATTCTCTATAATTTTTATTTTATACGTAATTTCTCTAAAATGGACCGTGTTCGAGATATTTAAGAAAATGTGTAAATTTAGAAATTTGAAGAAAACTCAAAAACTGATAAAGAAAAAAACATTAAATTTTAAACTTAAGTTTTATTTCGGCCTGACGTGAAATGATTAGATTTTGAACAAAGTCAAAACATCTGGGGGGTACTTTATGGGAGGCCGTTTTTATATTTTATGGAATATATCTGTTATTTATCTTTGAATGAAGAAAAAAATTATTTTAATAAAAGTTACTTCTAATATTATTATATATAATTTTTGTATTATGTCAAAATTTTCTGAAATGGTCCGTATTCGAGAAATTTGACAAAATGTGCAAAATTCTGATTTTTATGAAAACTAAAAGTTGTTTGCGATATCGATTTCTATAATTTTTATTTGTACATGATTTTTCTAAAATGGACCGAAATGGAAAAATTGTAGGAAAAGTGCTAAATTTAATTTTTTTAGTATTTTCGTTTTCAATGAATATAGAAAAATGTTTCGAGGTAGATGTATTTGGAAAATGTATATATTTAGTTTATCCTCTTAACATTTATAGAAGTGCTGCAATAGGTTGTACAAAATAACCGGAAAAAGTCTATAATAACTAGATAGGAAAGTCATATGTTGGACACATCAGATTTTTATTAAAACTAGTGTTCGCCCAGTGGTCAAAATTTGACCATAATCGTTAGTGTGAAATAATTATAATTAAATAAAAAACAAATTAAATAACAGTAATTCATAATTTAAAAACCCTTATTTATTGATATAAAACAGATTTTTGTTGAATTGATTCTGATTAATAAGCCCTTTCGTTTACTTCGCGTTTACTTTATATTATATGAGCCATTTTTAGTTTTAAATTGTATTTAATTTTATTTGATACTGTACTGGACTGCCACGAGCCACGAACCGAAGGAAATATTTTTGGTAATAAAGCATTCGCCCTTTGATCCTATAAATTACCTGCATAACATTATTTTCTTGACGGCTTTTGAAAAAAGTATATGATACCAAAAGCCTCGCCCTTCGGTCCCATGAATTAGGTACATGCATAATAATATTTCTTTCGTTTCAATTTCAGTCCGCTCTTTTCGATTTTGAGGAAGGGGGGGTAATAGGATCCAAAATGGATCTGATTCAACTCGACCTTTGGTCATATAAACCACCCCCACAATAAAAAATTAAATTTTTTGTTTTGAGTTTACTTTTGAGGCCCCTAAAAGCGGGGTTGAGTGTGGGTAACCCGCATCGTTCTACTATATGGGTCATTCTCAAAAAAGAGGAAAAATTACTTCTGACCACATCTTTTAAATATTTTGCTAAATTAAGTAACCAATTTCTGGCCAAAGGATTCATTTTAATTGCTCTTTTTGTACCAATAATACATTTTGAAAAAAAAACACATTTAAAAAATATATATATAAAATTTCGAAAAAAAAATATTACCATGTCATGTCATATTACAATTTCACAAGAAGAACTGAATTTTTTCCATGAAAACAAATTGTTTTTGAACAATACAATTAAAACTTCAAATGAGCATCAAATGATTATCATCTCTTAACTTATTTAGTTGATATGCATGGTTGGTTTACTATCATACTTTAATATAAAGTATGTAACCAAAAATTTTGCTCATTACCATGTCACTTCCTAATTTAAAACAACCGGCATCATTGTAAATAATTTTAGAGTCGTTTTATCCACCAGTCGATTCTCCTTAAACAATATTTTACCACCCCACCTAGAATTATCAAAGTCAGTGTTAATATAGCTACACAGCAAGTCGGATTACGTGCATTTCGTCTGGCTGTAACTCGATTCAGGACATTACCGTGTGTGTTAAAAATTTCGTTTTTTTTTAAACTTTAAAGTGTCAATTAGTGTAGTGTTATAACACGATAAGGTAAGGATAAATAATTACTTTATTTGCTTTTAATAATCTAAGGTTATGTAAATGTTTTGCTCATTACCGTGTCAAAAATGCCTGACATTACCATGCCTGTTTATTATCACGGTAATGTCTGTACGACACGGTATTGTTAAATAATTAATGAATACATGGGGTGGATGTATAACTCTGTACCTTAGTATCAAAAGGTCTGATGCCCATTTAGCAACTTTATAGGTGAGCAAAAAACTGATTGTGTTCATTATTTGATTCCAAACCTAGGTGGACAACCGTGCATTTACATAAGTCATTACCATGTTATTAATAAACTGAGGACTACCGATCCTTTACAAAACAATGTAATACTTAACGGCAAATACATCAGCCCAAATAACTTATTTTGAGAAAAAATGGACATCAGACCTTTTGATACTAAAGTACATAACTGTTTCGAAACGACCTTGCAAGTAAATATAGCCGTGAATCTAACTTGATAGAAAATTTCGGTACAACAAAACTCTTTTTTTTTTTTAACTTATTAATTTTTATACAATTTAATTTACTTACAACTTATTTTTAGATGCCAGATTTGAGAGTAAAAAAGCAGAAGGCTAAATTAGGTAAGAAGAATAAGGATAAAATTTTAAAAATAAAAAGGGAAAGAGAAAGATTTAGAAGGCAGAAAATTAAAAATAACCCAGAAGAATATGCAAACAAAAACAAAAAAGAACGTGAGCGCTATCAAAAAAGAAAGTGTGAAGGAAAAATCAAGCTCATAGGCGAAATGAGTGAGAGAGAAAAGCGGAACAAGAGAAAATCTTGAATAAAGAATAATAGAACATACCGGGAAAAAAAAAGAGAACTAAATCAGCTCCAACATAATATTATGTGTGACACGCCCACCCCAACAGAAATTAGTTTTAATGAAGAGCAGATCGCAGACATTGATATCAGACAAAACGAAGAAAAGTTGCGGAAACGAATAACGCGTCTCAAAGTACGGGCATACCGTGAATCATGTCACCAAAAAAAAATTATTGAAAGTCTCAAAAGGCAAAATAGAGATCTGAGGTCAAATGCATTAAAACAAAAAATTATGCTCCATAATAAAAGGACTAGGACAGATGAATGTACTTTGCCAGATTTGAGTCCCAACATAAAGGTAAAATTATTTAAGTTCTTGCATAAGTATCTTGTCATAAATAGGTAACACTTTTTAGGTTAACGAAATCCTTCAAAAAGCTGGTGTCGTAGTACCCGATTCTGTCAGAAAAGAGTTGTTGTTTGGTGAATCTGTGAAGAAGCAGCTTGCCAAAAACTTTACGTCATTAAAAGATCATGATTTCAAACAAATGTTTGCGAAAGTAGTGAGCGGGGATCTTTTAAAAAAATATAGAGTAACAAGTAAACTAAGTATGTCAAAATATTTCAGTACATCTAATACCCAAAGCAACCGAAATAAATCAGCAGGCAGAAAATCATGATATTCCAACTTACGACGCATTTTTTAAAGTTATTAAGAAAAATGTATTGAATATTCGTATTGATACTGTAGATGAATCAGATATCCTCAAAGTAGAAAATGAAATTATAGAGAATCTGGATACTTTTAAAGGTACCATGCAAGTCCACAATGTAACTTGGTGCAGAGAGTATAACGTTTTATATTTTAACAGTTTAACATGTATCTCATGCAATATTGGCGAATCATGTAGCCACTTTAATCTTGGGCATATAAAAATGCACAATTCGTCGACTTCTCCAACTTCTGGTCAAGATATCGGTATAGAAACCTAAAGTTCTAAAAGTACAGTTATGCCCACTGACAAATATATCGACATGACTGGTCAGTCTCTCCTGAAAACAGTTCAGAATCGGATGTTAAACCGAATGACTGGGTAGCAGTTTTCTTCTCCGACTTTTGGTATCCAGGTAAAATAGTTTGTTCTTGTATTTTATAATATGGGTATTCTAATTTGTACCGATTTTTAGGTTTGGTTTTGTCACAAACTGGCAAATCTGTCAAAATTAATTTCATGGACAGACGAGAAGTTTTTTTTTGGCCGGAAAAAAAAAGACATCCAGACAATTCGTGCAGCAGAAATTTTATATAAACTCTCCAAGCCACCGGTTCCAAGTTCTGCTGGGCTCTTTTCTGTTCCGGAATACAAATATAGAGGATATGACTTAATTTCATTACTCAGTTTTTATTTAAAAATATTTGAAAAATAATACTTTTTTATCTATTTTTAAGAGTTTCTCGTTCGAAGTTTTTAACGTTATTTTTTTTTTCATGGTTTAAAATATTTTTTTTCTATGTGAACTACGTTTAATCTTCATGTTTTTAATAAAGAGTGTTTTTTGAATATTTTTTGTTTATTTTCACTCCCTAACATTACCATGAAAGTAAATTAAACATTTCCATGTCTTTTGACATTACCGTGACAGCCAAATTTCATTACCATGTCATTTTTTTGTAATTTTTCCGAAAAAACTAAAAATATGGGGGGGTACATATTACAGATTTTACTAACCTAAAATATTATATAAGCCTACGCAATAATATTTTTGGATACATGAGTATTTAGATGTGACGCAAAATATCATGGAATTTTCCTTATTTCTAAAGAATGACCCATATACGAGCTCAGCTTACACTATATCATGAAACATAGCGAAAATAATCATTAACAGCCTAGAAAAGGTAGCAAAGTAAGGGGTGGCGGAAGGACGTTGGCTTGATTTTCGAATTTTGCTTATTTTTTAATTATCTATACCAGGGGTGGCCAACAAATCGATTGCGATCGAATGGTCGATCGCGATGCCAATTTTGGTCGATCGCTTACAATGCCTTGGGTGGAATTCCGTGTACCATGGACTTTGAAGCGGTTGTAGAAGATAAAACTTTCTAGCATTAACTTAATGCATTCTGGGAATTTGCCAAGGTCATAAATTCCTAGAATTCTGACATTCTGCTACTGTTATCTACACCCACCTATCACAATACATTTTGACAATATTTGACATAATTTTAACAGAAATTCACACACATGCGCAAAAAATACCATTTTTATCACCAAAATTTTATAATTTCCACAATTTTTCCCAGTTCGTTTTCATTTTAAATCAGTTCATGATTAACAAAAACATACATTTTGTTTTCTAAAAACGTATTTAAAATAGAGAATAACAGAACAAATCTTAAATAAACAACAGTAAAATAAAAGTAACTGGTAAAATCTGGTAAAATAAGAATACTCTTTGGTATAAAATATGTAAATTAAAAAAAATAAAAGTACCTCTTATAAAATTAAGGAAATAAAATCGGTTCACAAATAAATACAAGAGAAAATGGTTCTGAACTATTTTGTATTTGCCTATTTATATATAGATAACTCAAAAATAATACAAAATAAAACTAAAAATAATTCACATAAAAAGGTAAACGGACATTCTTACACAGGAAAAAATATGTACATTTTATTTATGTCGATTTTACATGCACTTAAATATTTATTTATGCAACAAGTGCAAAAAGTAGGTGTTTATTGCACGCGACGTGAAATTGTCCAACTAGGCCGTCAGACCGAGTTGGACAACACGTCGATTGCAATAAACACTTTTTGCACGAGTTGCATACAATATTTTTTCTACGTTCATGCAAAATCCAAAAAATGTTTTATAGAACTGCAGTTGTATTATCCAAATTATAGTAGCCGTGATCGTGTACCTTTGTTTGAGGCATTTATTTACGTTTGTGTTCATAATTTGTAATGACATTTTTAATAGAATACATTTTTTTATTAATTTATTTATTAAATGATTGAAAATAATATAAATTATACAATTGTTTTTGAAACGTAACACAGAAAATAAAAATGGACTAAATATTTGGCGTTGATTTCAATATTTATGTTTGTCGTGATCATAAAACCCTGTAGTAAAATGACAGATGAGTGCAATAATATTTTTATTGCACTAAAGAACCAGTTTTTTCACTAAATATAGTTCAATAAAGTTTTGTTTTTTGCATGAACGTAGAAAAATATATTTTTTAAATGGTACTGAGAATCTAAATGAACAAATAATAAATTGACGGGATATTGCTTTTGCTGTAACTGTAGGGAAAATTAATGCGACGATTAAAAGATAAAAGCCTACTTTTGGCCTTTTGATAGTTGGCTCAGCATTATCTTGGGTAAAAGCATGGTGAAAGTCAAAAGGATTCTAACTGCCGCACACCCAACCTCAATAGTCCAGTTTGTCTCCATCATGCGTTCATAGATGGAGACACCGATGATCGCTTGTTACATACTCAACGAGAGGATATGCGGTCAGGCTCAGATTTCTGGTATTCCATGATATAAAAAATAAAAGGTAGGATCTCAACAGTGTCAAAAATAGGACGGCCACGCGCATGACGTCACGCATAGAGTTCGTATAGGCGCCAATTTAAAAATACTGACGAAGTGTGAGGAAAATATATGCTACCTACAGAAATTTAATGACTATTAAGGATAATATTTTATAAATTACATGAAATATCTATGGATATTAGTATAGGATAGTTAAGAAAAGAACTATAAAGGAACATACATGCAAATACATACATAAAAGAAATATTTATTTGAACAGTTTTTTTCCTTCTTTTTTAATGATTTATTTTGGTTATACAAATTCGACTTCTAAAGAATAGTTTTTATAACCACAATAATGAAAAGGGTATCTTCGCAACTCGAAACTGGGGATCCTGGTAACAATTTTGCATCTGGGTATGCCGGAAATTTTTAGCAGATTAGGATTGGCAACTGGTTACTCATTTACCTGCATTATATTACTCAATTGAATAAAAATTAATATAATGCAATGCATAAAAAATGTACCAAATACAAATAACTGCTATATAACCTATGGTGAGTGTATATACAAAATTAAAATAAAATGTCACTGCATTTTTCCTGGACATGGTCGCTGACAGTTTTTTAATTCATTCATCAACTTCAAGTCAAAATTTTACAATTTCACTTTTGCTTATATTGCTAAATTTTTAGCCTTCAAAGGGTAGAGTCTCCAGTTTAGAAGTTTCGAATTGCGAATGAACCAATGTGATTCACACTAGTTCATTCACAACTTCATATTATGGAAAGTTCTTATTTGAGGTCCGTCTTATAATTGGAAGGTTGAAAGTGCTTGGAATACGTATGAAAATTTATCTGCAGGGTCACAAGCCACTACAAGGGCTGCTCCATGTCTAATTTTCTTGGGAAGGAGGGTAGAGTTGCCTATTTAGTATATATTTTTTTTAATAAAAGGCTCATGGATCTTAAGAATTTTAATCTATGTTCCTCTGGGCCTCCACTGGAGCCGCCCTTGGGCCACTCCTCACTTCTGACTAAGCTCTTTCTGTCGAGGAAAACGAAAAACCATATCTTTCTTAAATCCTTTTATTTAATTGTTACTATTAGATCCGTACCTCAATTTTTCAATGTTTTTCACTAAAACCACTCACAGAGAATAAAGTTTACAGCATAATATAATACAAATATCTGCCTAATGACTTATAAATCACTATAAACGACTCACAAACTACTGCAATATGCGTCTGTCATGACACCATGCGGGATATCCCCCCCTGCTGGTATTCAGTATTCATTGCAATTTCTTACTTTTATATGTAGTTAGTTGAGAATATTTTAATAATATACATTTTGTAGAAAATATTTTTTTCCTTATTATTATAATATTTAGCTGAATTAAATAAAATCTCTACAATATTCTATATTGAAATGCCTTCTGTTTTAGTATAGAATTTATAGTTTAAACAGTACTACTGGCCAAAAAGTCACTATCGAATTACATGTCTGGTCATGTGCCTGCCTGCCCGCATGGTTTTTATTAAGCGGACGGTATAAATGTGGTAAAAGGCATGCAACATGGAACTTGCACTCAGAAAATAAAGTCAAAACAGCATACATCGCTTAAGAACAATGCTGTCGATCCGTGGGGCTCACCTGAGGTTTCTTTCTCAGAGCCGTCGCATGGATTTACACGGCCATTATAAGACCTATACTAACATATGGTGCATTTGTCTGGGTACCGAAAACCCAAAAATTGACAGCTATTCGTTAACTAGAACAAATTCAATAAACAGCATGTCTCCAACATAATCGGAACCATGAAAACCACACCGACCAGTGCCATGGAAGTCATTCTTAGTCTCGCTCCCCTTAATATTTACATCAAGGAGGTTGCACGGTTGGAATGGAATCTGATGTAGGATCTGGTGAGCGATATGCCGATATTCCAGCACTGCTTCAAGCGAACATGAACTCCATCTTACCGAGATATATCTTCCATAAGCCATATGAAGTTATAACAGAACAAATAGAAGAGCCAGAAGTGGCAGGTACGATTTCTATCTACACCGATGGTTCTAAAACAAAACAAGGCTCAGGATGTGGAATATACTCCAGATACTTAAACCTAAACATAAAATGGGCTGTATAATAGTGCTAGTGTAGTTTAAAGATATCTCACGGGATTTTCATAAGAAAGAAATCATCAGAAACAATATCACTGGAACAAACATGCTCATATATACAGATAGCAGACAAGCAATACTCACCCTAAATAGACCACGAATTTACTCAGGATTAGTACTAGAATGTCACAAAGCTTTGGCCGAAGTATCCATCAACAATGTGATCACCTTAAGATGGATAGAAGGTCACGCCACATCGAAAGGTAATCATCTTGCTGATTCACT